TTGGTAGCTCTTAGGTCAGACATAGGTTTTGAAAGTGAAGTTATTTGTAAGGATGCAAAATCCATGAAATCTTGGAGAAGTCCTTCAAGAATGGGAAGAGATGCTAGTGTTAGGTTCATGGGACCAGTGGTAGGTCAGCAGAGATGTAACACATAGGCATCGTGTCAGGGGTTGCTCTCTGCTGGGGGTGCCATTGATTCCTCAGGGTCTTCATAATTTATTTCTACTAATTTACTTGGAACCATTTGGGATATTTGAGTTTGTGGTTCTGCTTTAAGCAAAAAAGAACGAAGCCCACATTTTGTCATCAAACAATTTTCCACTTGTCTAATACTCTTTGTAAATTCAGAGCAAAAGAGAGATAATGAAAGAGTTGAGATAGGTAAGTGCCTTCAATTTCAAGTGGGAAAAAAACATTGCATTATAGAACCCTTGGAGCAGTAAGGGAGAATTATTAAGCTGGATCTTTCAGAGAATTTGAGGAAGAAAAGCAGAACCAAAGTTGCTTAGTCATGTACAAGACACAAGACCAAGTTCATTCCTTTATGTGGAAGTTGAAGGTAGTTGATGGTGAATCTGTACTACAAAGAGATATTTTGGTATTTCTTTTAGGACTTCTGTGGGCATGATAGAGAGGGGCTAAATGCTTCATATATGGTTTGTCGTTGGTTGGACAGTGATACCAAAGTGTGTTTGTCAACCTTGTGAGTGATTTCTAGAATAGTGAACTCTTTCAGACTGGGAAAAGTAACCACATTACCCAAGTCTCCTCTTTCCCACCTTCACCTGCCTGTACCAAGCCCACCAGCCTATCACACCTTACTGCAAACCCCTGTGGTCTCCCTGATAATATTAGCTATACAGAAATAGGATCTCTTTCCCCTGTCATTCAGTTGAATCAAGTGTCTTATTTTATTTATTTATTTATTTGGTTTTTACGAGACAGGGTTTCTCTGTATTGTTTTGGAGGCTGTCGGTCCAGCCCAGCCTCGAACTCACAGAGATCCGCCTGCCTCTGTCTCCCGAGTGCTGGGATTAAAGGCGTGTGCCACCACCGCCCAGCGTTTTGTGATTCTTTTATGTGTAACTTTTCTCTAGGAAAATCTTCACCAAGGCTGCTACACTTTGCCATTCTTCGCAGGCTTTGTAGCTCTAGGCCTTTGTGAGTCCCACCCCTACTTTGATTTGGTTAGGGTTACCCACAGCAGAGTCATGGGCTGAGAGTTGTCCTGGTATAAAGCTTGGCTTCATCTAAGTCAGCAGATGGGGTTCAGCACTCTGTGGTCCCATTGGCACCAATTGTCTTAGGGTAGCTTCTGCCTTGACAGAGTGGACCCTATCCACATGCAAATTACTTTCCTATAATAGCCTCCTTCAAGTTGTACCATAGAGAGATCTTCTGGAATCTTATCACCTCATATCCCTGAGAAATATTTGTCATATATTTTATAAGGTATAATATGTTTTGACAGCTGTCAAGGGTACCTCTTGTGTGCATATATGTCTATGAATATGCATTTGGGGTACATGTATATGCTCACAGAGGCCAGAGGACATCAGAGTTATTCCTGGAGAACCATCTGCATTGTTTATTGAGACAGGGTCTTTTCATTGGCATGGAGTTTGCTGATTAGGCTAGACGGTCTGGCCAGTGAGCTCCAGAGATCCATCTCTCTTTACCTCCCCAGGTTGGTCTTACAAGCACACATCACCATGCTTAGATTTTCCCATGGCTTTTGGGAATTGAACTTGATTTCTCATGCTTGCATGGCATACAGTATGCTGACTGAGCTTTTTCCTCAGTCACACTGGGAGCAAGCTAGTTGCAGGGTTTCAACCAGCTAGGATGGAATGAGTGTCTGTCTTATGGAGACACAAAAATAAATTGGCAGGAACCAACTGTTTTTCTTATTCACAGATTTGGTAGAAGAATTGAGTTATGGGGCAAGTGTGATCTTATTTCTAGTGGCTTCTTTTGTTTACTGGCTTGCATGAGGCTCTGAGGATCAATGCTCAATGTTGTTCCTTTGAGGGATATGACACTTTCTGTCACGGGACAAGAATCTTGAAGAGAATCTGTTTTTCATGCTCCCTGTTCCCACCTTTGACAAACTCAGCTAATGTCGAGAGAACAGTTGTGAGTACAGATTGTTAATCTCCCCTCCTCCACCCATAATAGAGCTTGAGAGTAATTCAGATTCTTACATATATGTCTCTCAGGTCAAGAAAAGCAGGGGCTGGGGTGAATGCTCAGCAGTTAAGAGCACTGACTGCTTTTCCAAAGGACCCATGTTCAATCCCCAGCACCCACATGGCAGCTCACAACTGTCTGTAACTCCAGTTCCAGGGGATCTGACACCTTAACACCAATGCACATAAAATAAAGTTAAATGAATTACTTTTTTAAAAATAAAAGTGCAAGTCACAATTTGGCTCCATGCAGATGGTTAAGCCATGTAAAACAAACATCTCCAGGCTGTTGAGGCACAGTGTCCTGTTGCCCTTCCTGGCCTTGTCCTCTTTGTGTTACTGCGGGGTCATCACAGCCACCCTTCCTCTCCCAGAGTTTGGAACAGTTCTCACTTTCCTACTGAGCACATTCTAAGGGTCAGAAAGGCAGATGCTGTCTGAGTTTGGCATTTCTTCCCAACGTTTGCATGTTTGACCCTGCTTTAGCTCCCTGAGGCTTTCTGTCCTTTGCCAAGATACGTCACATCACTTGACTCGGGATATACAGACATGGTGTAGTAGGCTAGGGGAACAGAACAGTCACCTCCCTCCACAAACTGTCCAGAGAAGACAGACCCTTCTTTCTAAAATTCTTGAGCCAGAACTCAATGTGAAACCTCACAGCTGCTGTAGCCCTGGGCTGTGTGGACACTACAGTCTTCCTGGCAGACACTTCTCTCTTCCAGGAATTCTTTCCCTGGGGAGTTAGGGATGAGTCAACCCTAGGCCTTCCCCAAGTCCATCGGATAGAGTGGGCTGATGGACTAGGTCACCAGTCTATATAGGCTGGTATCACGATGCTGGATGTTGGAGTAGCAGAGGCAGAGGGGCAGAGTTTTATCACCTGACTATACCCTAGTATCCACGATGCTGGAGTAACAGAGACAGAGGGGCAGGATCTCAGCCTGTCAGTTAATTTTAATGATGCTGCCACAAAGTTTGTTATTGTTATTATTTTGTGTGTTTGTTTGCTTGGGAAAAGGTCTCATGTCTTAAACTCCTTCTGTCTCCATCTCCCAAGTGCTGGTGTTATAGGTGTGCACTGCCATGTTCAGGTTGCTATGAAACACTTCAAAAGAGCTTTATTGATTTTTATGTGCCATACAATTCCCCCACTTAGAGTGTACAATGCATTGGTTTCTAATAAGGTTACAGACCGTTCTTATATAGTTCCTATATAGTTAAGACATTTTCAGTAATCACCCAACTCAATTTGTTTTCCCCAACTCAGTTTGTCCTAGGCAATCAACTGCTAAGCTACTTTCTATCCATTGGCTTATTTTGGGCATTTTGTGTAAATGGAATTCTGCAGTGTGTGGTCTTTTGTGACTTTGTTCTTTAAACTCACTATACCATATAAAGATTGCACTCCTCCTTTGCCAAATAGCATGCCACTATGGGAATATACTTTATTATTTATTCTATCAGTTGATTGGTGAGTTGATTCGAATTTCTGGTTTTTGAGGATAAAGAATGTTTCTAGAGAACAGTATATACAATTGGGTTGTCTTTTTTTTGACATCTGCTTTTATTTCTCTTAGGAATTACACCCAAGATTTCTGGGTAATCTGGCCACTTTTTAGCTAGTTTTTTTTTGTGGGACTTATAGGTGTTTTTGAAGTAGCTGCCTCCTTTTACAGAGATGTGCATGAAAGCTGATTCATCACCATCCCCACAGTAATTTTCAATACAATTCGGATATATTGCCAGTGTGGACCAGAATTGGCTGGATTGGAAATAAAATCACTGTAGAAACAATCCCAGGACTGTACCTGAAAGAGAGAGTCTTTTCAGAGCAGAACATTCTGGCTTTTCAGGTTATTGTTTTTGGGGGGCTCCACACCTCTCGGACCTTACTTGTGGTCCCAAGTTTTCCCGAGCAATGCATTTCCTAGGAGGTGAGTCAATTTGGAATGACAGATGGACAATTGTCCAGCACTCTTTGATGCCCTCAAAGTTGAGGGTGGGGAGATGGTTCTATCAGTGAAGTACTTGCTGGCAAACATGAGAACCGCAGGTCAATCCCCAGAACCCACATAAAAAAAATCCAGGTGTGCTTGTAATCTCAGCATCGGGGAAGTGGAGACAGGGATCCCTGGGGATTGCTGTGCAGCCAGCCTAGCTGAACTGGTGAGCTCTAGGTTCAGTAAGAGACCCCGTCTTAAAAAAATAGGGTGGAGAGAGACCAAGGGAGACACAGGATGTCTATTCATGTCCTCCAAATGCACATTCACATATACTGCACATGAAGCTGCACAAACAGGAACACACACACACACACACACACACACACACACACCGTTAACTTGATCTGGAAAACTGATCAGTGGACTGAGCGGAGCCACAGACGTGCACCCCCACCTCCCCCCTTCTGAGGACGTGACAATCTCTTCTTGTAAATGTCATCACTTTCTTGGTCTATCTGGTAAGAACTGAGTCATGAGGTGCTGACAGAACCCCAGTGGACTTCACATGCAGCCTGGAGCGCTCTGCTCATTCCTGAGATACTCACACTGTCAGCCTGCTGCTCAGATGGTAAACAACTTGCCCGGGATGTGTTCCTGCCACTGTGGCTTTTCTTGGCTTGTCTGAGTGAAGCACAGACCCAGACAACTTGCCTCTGGGGGTGGTGGTGGCTGCAAGGTGGTAACACATCGTTGGAATGGCCTCTGCTTTCACCGAGCTCCGTTCCAGAGTGACCCCATGGAAGAAGGTAAGACTCTGTATTTCCAAAAGGTGGCCCTGAACCAACTTCAACCTTTTGTTTGCAGCCATGGCACAGGGTATGAGAGTGAGAACCACACAACCCCCATCCTCTGTGGTGCCCAGTACAGAATACACACCCATGGCGTCTTCCGAGGCATTCAGGTGAGTGCTAGGGTGCGCAGTCAAAGACTGCCTTCGTTGACTCTTCCTCTGCTCATCTGTCCTGCAGCCTCTGCTGCTGGACCACCTGGCCCTGCAAGTGTTTGCCACCAGAGATGCTCCTCCTTCCACTCCACCCCTGCAGAGATGCTGATACTTCCTGCACAATCCCATCCTTCCTCTTTTATTATTAGTTCTGCTTCTCCACAGTGGGTGCTACAATTGCATGTGGGTCATCTGCATTTGAATTAGTGACCTGGACCCTTGACTTCTAAGATTTGATCGGTGCTGTAAAGTTCTCAAAGGTAGACTCTTGCCAACAATAGTACCACTTATGACTGGACATGCCTTTAAAAACATTGAGTTTATCTAGCTTCTAGGTTTACATAAAATATGCACAGAAATTACAGTGTTCCCAGGTCCTCCTGCTATCACCTTCACATAATGTCCCCTGGCATGCTACACTTGTTACAATGGATGTTGGTGTATTATTGGTAACTGAATTGCTTTGTTGTATAGTCCTGTGGGTTTGACACACATATAATGCCATTTATTATTATTATTATATGGAGTAGTTTACTGTCTCAAAAATGCTCATACTCCACCACCTATACATCATGCCCTTTTTCAGTCCCTCCCTCTTCCCAACAATCACTGTCCTTTCTCAGAATGTTGGCTACTCCATTGCATTTCCAGGCTAACATCTTTCACTTAGTAATATGTGTTTATGATTCCATTACATGGTCTTTGTTCTCTGATGTGGCCCTGCTGCAAGCTTAAGAAGTAGACATTTTATAGTTGGGGAAACTGAAGAGAGAAGACAAGGGACTTGTTTAAAATCACATAGTAAGTGGGAGATGAGATGTGTAATATATATTTTATTGGAGTCCACAATCTTTATTTTGCTTCTTAATATTATTTATTAGAGGAGATTAAATAATATTGTTTGCTAGAAGAAACAGGAGGGAGAGGTCTCCTGGGTGAGCAAAGAATCTCAGAGAATGTAGGTTATTCAGGGGACACCCCACCCTTTTGGGTAGTCAGAACCACAATTACCAAGGGCTCACATCTGTGACTTACAAACCTGGCTTGGTGACTGCCACAAGAGAAATAGCTAAATTATCCTTTCAAGGGAGGTTAAGACCCAAAAACAAGTTGCATGAGGGCTGGGCCCTGAGTGATATGGGCAAGGAGCTCCTCTTCATGGAATTCAGTGTGCTCTCTCATCCCAAGCCTTTCCATGGTGAGAAATAAACAAGCCAGAGAAATGTGGAGATGTGACAGTTTCATCTGAGTGTCTCACAACAGACATTGTCAGCATCCTTCGCCAGACTGCACACTGACAGTAGCAGCTGTTTTTCGGCCTTTGTCTGGGATGAGAAGAGATGCAAGAGGCTTAATACGCCCGCCTTCCCACCAGACTCAGTTTGTCAGACCCACTGTCAGTGCCCTTAGTAGATGCCACTCCCTATAGAGGTTGTTTCCCTGCTGATGCTTTTTCTTGTAGACTATGACAAACAAACCACTGGCCTACCATTTACTCGTATAACACCATTAACCCTGGGAGAAAGCAAGTGGTTGCCATACTGTGGCATACCAACACAGTATTTATGGTATGATACTACAGAACTTTTCCTTACAAAAGAGAGTGCCCTGCTAGGTCAAGGCAAGTGAACTAGGCACAAGAATGTGAGTGCGGGTAGATTGTAGATTAGAAGACATGGGAAGTTGCTGAGTTAAGAACAGTGGTTCCCAACCTGTGGCTTGTGATCCCCTGGGCTTAGCTATCAGACGTTTACATTATGAATCATTACAGTAGCAGAATTATAGTTATGAAGTAGCGATGAAAATGATTTTATGGCTGCGGGTAACCACAGCATGAGAAACTGCATTAAAGGGTTGTAGCATTGAGAAGGTTGAGAAGCACTGGCTTAGTGGTTGTTCCAGGTCTCTATACCATCACAGATGTGTTCCTGTGTCAGCAGACCATGTCTTCTGTCCTGGTGGGCACATCTGTAACTAAACAAGGAGGAACCATTCCTGCCATCAGGAGTCACTGAGCCTGAGGGCAAGAAAAGAGATTTGCCTCCCTTGCTGGATGACAGGGACCAGTAGGTGTTGTGGGAAGGACATGCAAAGAACACAGAAGCTTCCAATGTTTTCCTGTATCAGTGTTAAAGATCACACTGACTATACTACAGCATTCTGGTGGATTCGGAGGCCCCAAATCCAGAGACTTCTTTATTTACTTCTATTTACAAGTGAAGCTCAGGTCAGTTTGGGCCTCACTCAGTGTCTCATGTCTTTCTTTGCTAAAACTTTCACATTCATTTCCTTTCTCTCTTTCTTCCTTTCATTCATTCATTCATTCATTTTTTTTTGATGTTTTTGAGACAGGTTTCTCTGTGTAGCTTTGTAGACCAGGCTGGCCTTGAACTCACAGAGATCCTCCTGCCTCTGCCTCCTGAGTGCTGGGATTAAAGGTGTGCCCCCCCTGCAGCTCCATCATGAGTCCATAATCACATGGCCAAGTCTCCAACTGGGAGGGCATGTACACAGTTTGGGACTCTAGAGTCTAGACCTCGCTGTCCCAAGTGAGAGATAGGTTGGGAACTTTTCCAGACACCAATGTTTCTTCTCTAGAGGCTCTATGCTGGGAACCCCAAAGAGGCTTCATTTCAAATCCAAGTTCTGTTGATCAGCAGTAATGACATCAGAACACCACATCATAGAGTTTCCTATCTATAATCCATTAGTGATGTCTGCCACAGGTTTCTCGGGTATGGAGGCAAGCATTTTTTGGTCTCATGCCATACCTGCCTTCAATTCTTTAGATATATTTCAGTGCTCAGTTTCCCATGGGACTGACATGAATGTTCACACGTGGCACAAGGCCTCCATTCCTCTTATGTTTTGCCTTCAGGATGTGCGACGTGTGTCTGGAGTGGCCCCAACTCTTGTCCGGTCAGCGTCTGAGACCAGTGAGAAACGCCCTTTCATGTGTGCCTACCCGGGCTGCAATAAGAGATACTTTAAGCTGTCCCACTTACAGATGCACAGCCGGAAGCACACTGGTAAGTGTGTCCACTGTCCAGACTCAGTAATGGTGGCTCACAAATTCCCACTCTGGACTCTCACACTGCGAAGGACACAGGTGGCTTGTGGGATGGAAGGCTGGCACTTCCAAAGGTCAGGCCACGGTGGTTGGCCAAAGCTGCAGGGCTGTTTGCATGATGGTTTCCCATCCTCTTCAGGAAAGCAGAACAGGGTGGTGGAAAGAAGAAAAGTGATGCGTGTTTGAAAGTTGCATTCACCACCAACTGGTGAGACCTTGAGCCAATTTCTCAACGTCCCTTTGGACTCCAAGTGCTTTGTATGGACAGTGAAGATGGTAGTGCCTACTCTGGGCAATTCTTAAGCCTAGAGGAAATGGAATCAAATTATACTACAACAGTTGTAGCATAGGACCCTGTGTCTCTAGGCCTGGATGAATGGCAGTGTTATTTCTGAGGGACTATTAGCATCTTTAGCAGGCAAGACAAGCCTGGAACAATACAATCAGATGGTTCAGAGCCTGAAGGACGAAGTCACCATAAACTTTGAAGAGTAGGTTCAAACACATACTTAGATGTCCTGGAAGTAATTCTGGGGTAAAGAAGGCCATTAAGTTTCCAAGCCTCAAGGTCCATGCCCACCTTTTCCTGGTAGGTTACACTTCCTGAAGGTTCCACCACCTCTCAAAATGGCACTACGAGCCTGAGACCCAGGCATCAAATGCATGAGCCTATGGGCGACATTGTATATTCAAACCATAAGATAGCATTGCAGAGCAAGTGGCATTTGTGAGGGGTATGTGAGTAACACTTTGATGGGTAGGAATGGGGCCATAAAGATGAAGGGTGTTGAGTGAGGAGGGCTCAGGAGTGGTGAGATCAGACACATGGAAAGACCATGGAAGCATCAGAGGTCCTAAGCAGGAAAAGCAACTTGGAGCTGTCCATCAAAGGACAGAATCTACTGACCTCCCACTAGATCCCAGAATCCAGTGACTCAGAATTCCAGGAGGTGGGAACACTCGCAGAAACTCAGTACACTCCAGGGGCACTCCTCTCATGTTTGGCTGAAGTTTTCCATGGCTGCAGGGGTGTGGCCCTTCTCTGAGTCCAGAGTTGCACAACCCTACTGCTGACTCGTTTCAGATTAAAGGACAACAGTCTTGCTAAATGCGCCTGCTTCTGATTTAATTGAGGTGTCTCACACTCACTACCATGGAGTCATTTATGCTGGACCCAAGAACAAGAAGTCAGTAGCAGAGGGTACCAAATATTCAGGCTGTAAAACATGGCACTTAATTCACACCATCAACCTCAAGGCACATCTATCCAAAATTCTATCTCAGATTCAACCAAGGAGTCATAACTTTTTTCTTTTCTTTTCTTTTCTTTTACTTTCAAAAATAGTCCCTGCTAATATATGTATTTTTTGAGCATTGCCTCAGTGCGAGGCATCAGTCTTGACCCCTACAGGGATGGTCTGGTCCCTGTGTCCATGGGCATGTGCGTAAGTGGGATTTTATCTTCCTGGAAGTCAACAGTGCTACTCTAAAAAGCTCCCCAGAATGCTTTGGGAGTTTTGGGATCCCTTCATCTGCCTTTAGGAGGGCTTGCCTGTGATGAGATCCTATTTCCATCTTTGTACTCAGAAACAACATATGTCTTCCCTCAGGTGAGAAACCATACCAGTGTGACTTCAAGGACTGTGAGAGAAGGTTTTCTCGCTCAGACCAGCTCAAAAGACACCAAAGGAGACACACAGGTTTGTAGGTTAACTTCTCATTGCCAGCAGTCACAAGCCCGTGGGTTAGAGCTGACTTTGTGCCTGTCTTCTTTGAACACAGATGAGAGGGTGATCTATCTATCTGTTTAATTTTTCCAACTTTCTTTCCCTCATCTGGAGACTTGTTTTTTGAAAAGGAAAGGGACTGTGGAGATGATGGCTCAGCAGTTAAGAGCACGTGTTCTTCGAGAGGACTCAGGTTTAGTTCCCAGCATCCACATCAGGCAATGTGTGTAACTATAGCCCCAGGGGATCTGACACTCTTCTGGTCTCCAAGGGCACTGTAAACACATGATATATACTCACTCACACACACACACATAATATAAATAATAAAAAATTAAGTCTTTTTTTACAAAGGAGAAAGAGAAAAGAAAGGAAACAGTTCACATTTCTTAGGAGAACCACGGCACAAAGGAGATCCCACAGCTGGCTGGTGATCCACTGATGTTCAGTTAGAAACCAGGGTATCTGATGGAGAAAAGCTGGCTTGTAGTGGTCCACTGACGTTCAGTTAGGAATCAGGGTGACCGAGAGAAGCCGGCTTGCAGTGGTCCATTTTCCTCAGTCTGTAACACTTGTCTGCTGGTGAGAACGGGATGATTGTGGTTAGGAAACGTTTCTTTCCCAAGTCAGGAGCAGCACCTGGAGGTTGCTGACTGGAATCAGGTGACTTCTGCTGGGCCTGGGGATCAAGGAGAGGTGAGGTCCAGGTAGACACAGACCTGGCCCATGTGATGGATACGCCAGGCTTCTCCAGCTGCCAGGAAGCTGGCCTTATGTGTCTCACTATGCCCCACATTGTTAGGGCCGAGGCTAGACCTTCTCTGTCCATTTAGGTGTGAAACCATTCCAGTGTAAAACTTGTCAGCGAAAGTTTTCCCGGTCCGACCACCTGAAGACCCACACCAGGACTCATACAGGTAAAACAAGTGCGTAAACTTTTCTTCACATTTATTTTTCATTATTTTCTTAAGCTACTGTTGAATGAAACTGTAATGAGAGTCATGTAAAAATTCTAGAGTCGCGATTCCATTTAGAGGGTGTCTAGCTATCTTTACATGATAAATGATAACATTTTTCAAAGAAAGGGTCAGAGAGCACTGAGTAGAAAAGAGATGGGAAGAGAAAGTCCAGAGGGCTCAGAACAAAGCAGGGAAGATAAGTCCATCCCCACCACCCCAGTTTGCTGTATCACGGATAGAACAGTCAGCCCCACAGCACGACCAGAAATTCAAGATATTCTGTTCTCCTGAGAGCTCACGTTTCACAGTCTTGATTGCAGAGTGTTCGCTTAAAGCTACACCCAGAGTCTAGGTTTCTGCCAGTTTAACAGAAACTCATGCTCATCCTTCTTTTATACCAGCACAGAGAGGAGAATGGGGGCATTGGCATAGCCACCGGCTGCTGAAGCACTGTCCACAAGGCTGATGAGACTCAGTGAAAGCAGCATCACCCTTGTGGTACATGTGCTTCCCTAGGAAGTAGAACTGTTTTATAGGTTAGCTCTTCATCTTTGCAGCATCCTCGGAATTAGAGCAGGGAGGCGTTTTTAATCCTCATTTAACAGACGAGCCTATAATGGGTAGAGATTAAATGATTTACCCAGAGCCACAAAACAACTGGATGGCAATCTCAGTGATCTGTGTTCCGGCCTCACCTCATCCCCATTGTTCTTTCTTTCTCTTGGAGAGAGAACATGTGTTCAGATAGCCACCCTGAGAAGCCAGGAAATTGAGGAGAGAGACAGAATAACAGCCAAGCCGGGTGCCAATGAGGGGACCAATATGAGAAAGAGTTGAAAAGGGAGAGTGGCAGGCAGGAACCAGATCAGGAAAAACAGATGGACAGTGAGGAGGGGGTGACAAGGCCATGGCACTGTAAGTTTCCTAGGAAGTTCCTAGTCTTCAGCACAGACAGGTTATACCTTAGAAGACCGTCAAAGCAGCGTGCCCCAGGTTGACAAGATACGAGTCTCAGTCTCCTTGGGGTATTTTTGACATATTGTTTTTTAGTCTCAAGCTCATAGTCTGGAGATTGTCCCTACACACCTCATTGTCCGCAAACCTGTGCCACCAATAAACTACTTGATGCCATATTTGATCAGTCACCCAGTCTAGCCTCAAAACACCACATCTCTTGGGACATTTCTCAGTGGAACCATCAGTATCCTAGGAAGACCCTCCAGGGGGCACAGGATTTAGCCCCTGTGACATTTTCCTCAGCAAGCCCTGCCTGTGGGATGCCACACAGGGATGAGTGTAGGCTTCAGGATTAGACATGCCTGGGTTTGAATCCTGCCTGGCTCTGTCTGCAACAGCCATGCAAATTCATCTGTAGAGTGAAGATAACATTTCTTTGTGAGGCTGTTTTAAGAGATTTACAAGGCAGTGAACATAATCTATTAGGGACGCCTGTATGTTAGGCACCATATACAAGATACCTATTGTCTTTAATGAGGATGAAAGCGCCTGAGAATGGAGCAGTCTTAATCATTTGGCAGAACTGATGTTGCAACCAGAATCTCCCCTCTAACACAGCATGGTTGTGAGCCATCCTTTGCACTAAAAAGAAACAAATTGGATACAAACTTGTAGCCATGCTTTGTTTTAAATCATCTATGTGGAGATAGAAAAGCTTCAGTCCAGATCTATTGATGACCAGTCATCAATCAATGGCATCTAGAGTAGTGGTTGAGAGCACCATCAATCAACAGTATCCAGGGTGATGGTTCAGACCCTTGCAGCCAGCTCCCACCTAGACAGCAATGGGGAAACATTTGCACAGGTCACAGAGTGTCCTTAGAGATGAGACAAAGTTTCCTAAACCCTCTTCATGTATGAGTTGCTTAGAGATTTCCACAAACTAGATTTTTCTCTCATTCCCCAAGTTTTTTATTTTATTATGCTTACAGTGCTTCTGGTTTTCAGGCCCTCAAAAGGCATTGCTAATCCCAGGCTGCCAGCGAAGAGCCAGTTGGTTAGCTTAGCGTATGACCCAGGGGAGTTCAGGGCGGGAGTCTTGTGGTGATTTAGCTCGGGCCTTTGATAGTTGAACCTGTGCCCAGTCACTCTGCTGCAAGTGTCTCTAACTGGCAATTGTGTCAACAGGTGAAAAGCCCTTCAGCTGTCGGTGGCACAGTTGTCAGAAAAAGTTTGCTCGGTCAGACGAATTAGTCCGCCATCACAACATGCACCAGAGAAACATGACCAAACTCCAGCTGGCGCTTTGAGGGGTCCGACCGGGGACAGTTCAGCATCCCAGGCAGGACAGTGTGCAAACCGCTTCCTAATCTGATTTTGAAATTGCTCCCCACCCACCTACAAAATGACTTGCTGGTGGATCGTCATCCAACTTCCAAGACAGCACGTGTGTTTGGCTGTATCCTATCAGGTTTGCTGGAAGGAGTCTGTGCTCCACCTACTCTTGTCTATCTCACAGACCTGAAAAAGTGACTCAAGATGTCTTGTTAGTTGAAAGCACGTTGCTATTCGGTCTGAGTTTTCCGCTGTCAGAAGAACCATTGTTGCTGATGTCCCCCTACTTTCCTCTTCTCCTTTGTGCGCATTTTCACCAGGATTGGAGTGATTGTTCCATTTTCCATCATGGGATATTTATAGGTCAGGGCATGTGTATGTGTCTGCTAATGTAAACGTTGTCATGGTTCCCATTTACTAACAGCCCTAGAAAGAAATAAATCAGAGAGCAAGGCACCAGGGGCGAATATCGCCCAGAATTCCAGAGGTCAGGCTGCGAACCTGGAATCCTGGAAGGCAGGAAGTAATTCTGCCAGGCGATTTTTAAAGCTCAAGTAACTGAATAGTGGATTAGAATTAATCACAACCTCTGAATAGAAACCCGAAGGAGCCTTCCTGTTCAGCTACTCATTGCTAACATTAGGACTGTGCTAAGAAATAATGATTAAAGAGCAGATTTTTTTGAACAATGTTTTTGATTTATTTTTCAGTTGTAATTAGGTTCATCTTTAGAGATGTGTTCTCCTTTTCATGCAAAGGAGGTTGAAGAGTTCATTTCTATCATCTGTGGTGTCTTTAGAGTGTAAAGACCACACTGGCTATGTGGCTTTAAGTTGTAAAAATTAAAATGACTTTAAAAGAAACTAGGGGCTGGTCCAGGATCTTTGCCGGTAAGACTGTTCTTAAGTAACTTAAGTATCTTTGACTCTGCAAGTATGTGGGGGAAAAAAAAAAGATATATTATTGTGAGGAAATCCATTGTTTAAAGATGTGTGTGTTGTTGTTGTTTTTAAAGGGAGGGAGTTCTATTATTTACTGTTGCTTGAAATACTGTGTAAATATATATGTATATATATAATGTGCTCTTTGTCAACTAAAATTAGGAGGTGTATGGATATTAGATACATCACTGTGTGGATATCAATCTTACAGTGTATTGATGATAAATAATACTAAAAATGTAACCTGCATTTTTTTCACTTGGCTGTCAATTAAAGTCTATTCAAAAAGAATATGCAGGAGTCTATTGGTTGTCTTGTGTTCGAATCTCAAGGCCAGCTGAACCTCTTTTAAACAGGCAATCTGCGATCAGCACTGATAGTTACCAGTAATGGCCCATCCAGACCCCTGACCACAGTTGACTTCTTTCTGTTGGGCTTTGGAAATTACCTATCTTCAGAGAAGCAGGGGGCTACTTTTACACTGCACCATGGGATGGTTGGGTGGCTTGATCATGGGGTGGTAGGAATTGTGGTTCAAGAATTATTTTAATCAAATCATCACTGTATCGTGTCCAGACCAACAGAAGAGAATATAGAGGCCCTATAGATGTCTAACCCTTTTGAAAAGTTCACTGATACCTTCCCAGATTCAGGAGGCAGAAGCTGAACATCTGAATTTACAGCTGAAACTGCTATGATTCATCTCAGCAGGTGGGAAACTGCTTAGACTCCCCAGGGCAGCTGAGCGCTAAAGCCGAGAGCTCCACTCTCTGTGACCTGAAAACCCTCTTTCTGGTTCTGGTGGATGGTTTTCGATGTCAGGACATGCATTTGTTCAGCCTCTCTCAGCTCCATTATCTTAGATCTTGCATGCATTCCAGGTCTCACTTCTTCATTTAGAAGGATCTTGAGCACAAAGGAGCTTAGCCTCGGAGACTCTTTGCAGCTCAAAGTCAGAACGGCCTAAAAGCAGGGTCTGGAGGCCCCTCTTCTTCTGCATCTGGCTCTTGCATCACTGTTAATTATAGCGAGTGTGGTGACTCACATGTATCAGCCGTTTTTATCTTTTCCTGCCAGAAGACAGCGTTTCTCTGGAGAAGCTCAGGACAAGCATGGCAGACATAAGTGAGTCAGAGAGCGAGTTTCACAACAAAAATCCAACCACATTGTTCCTACTGCGCAGGGCAGGCCAGAGGCTCAATGACTGCAGAATGATCTGGGTTCAAATCCTATGTCTGCAAGTTTTTTTTTTATGAGAAAGCAATAGCCCCTTCCTGACATGAGCACGGGACAAATGAAAACACAATCTAGCACATACAAAGGCTTCTGTGAATTTTCCAGAACTATGGCCCATGAACTCACCTGTTGATTTCCTACATCTCCCATTCTTTGCATGCAGTCTCTGGGCATGCCCACAGGTCAGCCCTGAAAAATGACAGAATGTCATTTCCCCTATACCTCGAACCGCAGTGATGATTTGCAACAACTGGGCTTTCTGCCAGCTTCACCACACAGACCACATCTGCTGGTTTTGTGTCTTTTGCAAAGCACCCCGTTGACACTGTGTTTCTGAGACCTGTGGTGCTGACATACTGCAGGCTGTCAGGAGGTAGCTGGTGGGTGGTGGTCAATGGGTGCTCCCTGGGGTCAGATCTGGGGGCTGGTCAAAGTGCACATTTTTCCATCTTGTTTTCCTCTAGTGAGTGGCTCCACACTTCTAGCCTCCCCGGTCCTCTTGGCTGGATCTTTCAACACCGTTCCAAGTGTCCTGAACTCTCTCATCTCTGAATTTCTCTAGAATTCAGAGTATTCATCATTAAAGAGTGTCCTGTGGAGTTGTGGTACTTTCCCGTATTCTGTTTTGATCTGTATAGGGCAATCTTGTAAGGTAGACAGGAAATACGCCCTCATTTTGTAGATGAAGACACAGAGTGACCGTGCATAGCTGAGGGATGATTTAATCTTGCCTCTTAATATCCATTTCCCATTGGAACATTCTTGGTGACCATAAGCCTCATTCTGCCCCTTTGGTCATGTCTGTCGGTTGTATCTTCCCAACTAGGATGTGACCTTCTAAGTGGTTGCCCCTTCCCCTTCCCTGTTCTACTCCTGTGATGGATTCCCAGCTTTAACATTCGTAGAGCCACCTGACCAGTTTGCTGAGGTACAGGCTGTGTTGTCGAAGCTCTAGCAGACAGCATGAGCATCTACATTCTGACTGTCTCTTGGGATGACCCCTGCCATGGAGGACTCTGGACAGTATGCATGTAACAAAGACCTATAAGGTGGGATCAACGAATACTTATTGAAAGGGACTCAAAACTGACTGGTGAGACCCACACTTGACAATACTAAGGTCCACTGAACCGTGCTAACCCTTGGTCATGGTGGTGGTCCACGGTGCCATTTTGGTAGTATGTAGGGTTGAGGGTCAGAAGAATCCTCCAGAAGGCACCAGAGAAGCTGCCCACACTAGCCCAGGAAAACACCTTCCACCAGGAAGTTACTTTTCATGCCTAGTCACTCCATGGCATCTAGTTGACAGTCCCAGCATCTTCTACATTCATCCAAAACTGACATGTCAGCTCTGTCACAGCAATGGCCAACTCCTTGGTACCAACCTCTGTGTTAGTCACTTTTCAATAGTTGGGATAAAATACTCTGACCAAGGCAACTTACAAAAGAAAGTTCTGGGTAGACTACCCCTGGCCTCGAGGAGGAAGCATGGTCCGGCCCAGCACCTTGATGGACTGAATGTGACACGGAGACCCACACACAAATAGCCCAGGGCCCTGAGGAGGAAACACGGCCTGCCTGGTGCCTTGTGGTGCGGAGTAGATGGACACTATTACATGCTGAGCAAAAGAATGGGGTGGCGTGGTAGAGGAAGACAGAATGGTTCATGTCCTGTGGACCAGGGGTGTCTGAAGAGATGAAAGCACTGGGTGTAAGGATTCCGGCATTACGCTGGCCTGCCCCTGTCACCTGGCAGAATGCACCCAGCCCAGGGTTCCATGAGTACTAGTCTGCACCAGGTGCAAAGGACCCCTTTAAAAGGCAGACCCCTGCCCACTTATGCTCCCTTGCTCTCTTTCTGGCTCTTCTCTCTCTCTTACTGCTCTGGTCTCCCTCTTCTCTTCTGTCCTCCCTCTGTATCTCTGTCTCTTTACCTTTTCTCTCTTTCCTTCCCCCTCCCTTCCTTTTGTAACACAGCTTCTCACTCAGTCTCTGTCTGCTTGGCCTGTTTGTCGATCCCCCCCACCCCTTGGTCACCCTCCCCAGCCATGGAATCCGCCATGGCGCCACCCCCAAAACAGGACCACCTGCCAGCTTCACCACACAGACCACATCTGCTGGTTTTGTGTCTTTTGCAAAGCACCCCGTTGACACTGTGTTTCTGAGACCTGTGGTGCTGACATACTGCAGGCTGTCAGGAGGTAGCTGGTGGGTGGTGGTCAATGGGTGCTCCCTGGGGTCAGATCTGGGGGCTGGTCAAAGTGCACATTTTTCCATCTTGTTTTCCTCTAGTGAGTGGCTCCACACTTCTAGCCTCCCCGGTCCTCTTGGCTGGATCTTTCAACACCGTTCCAAGTGCTGCAAGGAAGCATCATGGCCAATAAACAAGTTGGGGAGACAGGGTCTACTTGGCTTACACTTCCAGATCACTGTTCATCATTGAAGGAAGTCAGGACAGAAACTCAAACAAGGCAGGAACTGGAGGCAGGAGCTGATGAAGAGGTTGTAGGGGAATGCTGCTTACTGGCTTACTCAGCCTGCCTTTTTTTTTGACAAGATTTCTCTGTGTAGACCCAGGTGTCCTGGAACTCATTCTGCAGACTAGGCTGGCCTCGAACTCACAGAGATTTTCCTGCCTCTGTCCCCTGGGTGCTGGGATTAAAAGGATGTGCCACCACCATCAGGCCAACAGCCCACTTCTTTATAGCATCCAAGATTACCAACTCAGGGATGGCACCACACACAATAGACTGGGCCCTCCCCCCTCAATAACTAATTAAGAAAATGCCTTACAGCTGGATCTTATGGAGGCATTTTCTCAATTAAGGTCCTGTCCATTCAGATAACTCTAGTTTTTGTGTCAAGTTGACCTAAGACTAGCCGGCACAAGGGCTTTCAAATAAGGAATGGCTTTGCTCCTCCAGGAGCTTATTAGCCATGCCTTGGGTAATCAAAGGTAAACTGGCGGACTAACACCAGAGATGCAGCCAAACAGCCCGCCATGCCCAAGACACCCATCTGCTCTGCCAAAGAACTTTCTATCCCTGAACGCCAGTGCTCTCCAGCTTTGAGGCAGCCTGGTATAGGAGAAGGGAGCCACTTTCACCAGAGAGAGTTGTCACCGGCTAAGAGTGGAGAATGGGTACAGAGCTGTAGAACTTCTGTGTCCATCCGCCTTACGGAATTAGCTACCTGAGGAGGCCTTTCTCTTGGAAGTATCTGAGCTTGTAGGAATCTGAGATGAATGCAAACAAACTACGGGAAAAACAAAGCTTGAAGACAAAGTAAAGGTCTCTGCTCTTTTCACTGATGTCTGTTCTTCTGGTAATCACTTATCAAGGGATTGGAATCTGTATAAATATTTATTTGACAGAATCTTGCTGAGGTCGACATATGAAGACAAATTTAAGAGGAGGCGGCTCAGTCGGTAAGATACCTGTTGTATATGCATAAGGATCTGAATTCAGATCCCAGAGCCCACATAAAAAGCCAGGAGTGGGGAGGGGGACTGTGATTAGTAAGTAAAATGACTAAAAAATTAAAATAAAAGGAAAGGGATGGAAAGGCTAAATTTGATATCTGAAATTAGGCTGTGTCAGCACCTTACACACACACACACACACACACACATACACACACACAGAGTCAGAAGTGTCAGCACACCTCTGCACTCAGTACTAGAGGCAGAGGCAGGAGGATTCTCAGAGCTCTCTGGTGAATCAGGCTACTCGGTTGATGAGCACCGGGCTTAATGAGAGATCATGACTCAAACATAAGGTAGAGAACCACAGGGACAGACACTCACCATCGACCTCTGGCTCCTCATGCATCTATACTCACATGCACAGGGCACACACAAAAACACATATAATGAAAACACATTTTATGATGATGGTCTCAAGCCTGCTAGGATTTTCCATCGACACAGAAGCTGTGCTGAGAAAAGTAGCTACTTCTGTGGAAGGTGCTGGGTTTTTCTGTTTTGGGGTCAGAATCTTGGTTGTTAGTTCTTAGATGGGTTTCAAGAGAGAGAGAGACAGAACAAAGGAAGGGTG